CAACACCGAGGGAGGCCGCCTTGGATTTGCCGATCAAATCATGAGCACACCCTGTGTCCATCAGCCATTTTACTCCCTTGCATTGGTTCGCAGACAGGGCGAATAGACTGATAGGTTGTCCGTGCCTCCTTTTCCATTGCACTTGTTCATTGGCATTTTGTGAGTACGATATATGTCATTGGCCACCTCGTTCATGATCTCGGCTCTGATGAGTGCCTTGTTGTGACTATATGCAAGGTGTCGTCGATGATCATATGTCTTGAACGTCTTGGCGTCGACTGGTTTCGAGGATGATCGGGACGTGTCCTCATATATGGATCCTTTGTGCCACATCGAATTGTTCCGCCACTGTTCGTCCTCATTCCTCAGGTACTCCACTTCTTCGCTCACGTCATTGTCAAGAATCTCTTAAAACCATACGTGCTTCTCGGGTATGTCAGTCTCACCTGACCACCGCGAAGATTCACTCATGGCGTCTTCGGCATCACGATCGTGATGCACAGTCTCGACCTCGGCTTCACTCTCCTGAGCGTGTTTGTCGCCCTTTATGGCTTCCGAAGTCGCGGCTCTCTTGACAGTGATAGCGGGCATTGCGATGTGAACCTTTCTCACAGTTGCCGGAGCTGCTGCTTTGGGCTTGGCTTGTGCCGTGGCCTGTTGTTTGGCGTTAGGCGCAGGAGCGGATGCTTTGGGATTTGCTGGTTCTGCGTGCTTGTATTTGCATTGATCCCCTTTCGTGCACTTTCCTTCTCTCCATGCATAGCAGACTCCGTCCCTCTTCGGTGAAGGGGTCCTTGCTGCTTTGCCGCCGCCTTTGCCCTTTCCTTATCATTGTCCAATTTGTGCTTGTGCTTGGGATTATGATTATGGGAATATGGACAATCCTTTCCTTTGAGACATCCTCCTTCTTTTGTGTAGTGGAAGACGCGCGGCCATTCCTTCTTCTGTTCAGGGCTCATGCTTTTCCCTTTTCCTTTTCCTTTGCCCTTCTTGTCGTGGTCTTTCGCTTTCGCTTTGGGTAGCACTGGTGCTGCTGCGTCCATCATCTTCCTTCCCGGAACTCCCTCCTTTACCTTTTCCCTTCTTTTTCTCCGCTGGCGCCGCATTCTTGTTGCCGCTCAGCAGGTTCTTGACTGACTTCTCCTTCATGTCATAGACGTAGTCCTCGCGATCAGTCCGAAGTTGTCGATCAATCAATCCCAAAACAAAACGGTAGGTCTTCTCAAGGTGCATCCGGTAACCGCGCATAGGTATTAAGACCAAATTCCAGCTTCCTGCTTCCTTTGATCTTGTGATATAGGATGTCCCGGAGCGTGATTTCCCTGAGTGTATCCTCCTTCCTCAGGTTGAGCAAGATGTCATACCATTTGTTGCGGAACACGGACATGTTCTTGTCCCCTGATTATTCCAGTCTGATCAAATGTTCAATGGTGAAAGTCATATCTGATCGATCACTTGATCTGAAAGATTGTAGTATGATGGCAATGATCTCTCTTCCCTTGATCAATCTGTTTTCTCTTTGGCGTCGTTCGGCGGGCAGCTGAATATCGTGTACCACGTCCTTCGCATCATCAGGCGCACTTCTGAGCATCGTCTTGATATCCATCATTGCAAATCGTTCGCCTCCCGAATCAGCTAAGAAATCAAGGTCAGGGTTCACCACGAGAGCACATGCCACCCACGACATCCATACTTCGATATCAGGATCTGCTGAAGCACTGGTGACGCTCATGGTGAGTGCCATCTTTGATATCCTTGGTCGACCACTGTCATGATCTCTGCGGTCTCTCGACCTTCTTCTTCGTGATGATCTTCTGTTGCGACGACGGTCATCATCATCATCGTCATCGGATGGTTCCTCTTCGTCGTCCTCGTCTCCATCATCATCGTCGTCAGGTGGATCAGGTGGACTTGGCCCTCCTGCTGCGGTTGGGACAGGAGCACGTCCTAGACCCCCCGCGTTTCCATCTGTATTGTGATAACCGAGACCAGGTGGACCGCCATCCTCGTGACCACCACCACCTGTTGAACCAAATCTCATATTTGGAATAGATCCTACCACCTCATGGAGTTGGTCAATATGAGCCTGTATCATTGGGTCTTGGTAAACAGGAAACAAAACAGAACCCGGTCCGAGGCTTTAATCAGTTCGCTTAGGAACATTGGATGCCTGTACATTAGAACTAGAAGCCGCCACAGTAGCCTGAGAGAGCACTACCTGACCTGGTTGTAGAGGCCCAATTGTGGTATCACTCTTACGGGTCCTCGAATTATGGCGTTTGCTGGTCCTAACAGTATCATCCCTCAGTAGAGCTTGTCCACGATCTTTTGTGTCCGCCGCAATGATGTTTTGGGTGGCGTTCTCGCTTTCGAGTTCCTTGTTCGTCTCTGCCAGCTGATATACAAAGCTCTCTTGGATCTTGAGCTCTCGTCGTGTCTCTTCGATCTCTTCGGGCATTGCAGCGATCTGATTGAGGTAATTGGATTGCGCATCATTGGCCTTTTGCCTTGATGCAGCGAGTTCGCGAGTCACGTCGACAAACTCCTGATCCCTCAGCGTGGCGCGATCATGTAATGCATTTCCTTGAAGAGCTCGATCTCTAGCGATCTTGATCTAATCATTCATCTTTGCGTCACGTTCCTGCACTGCACGTTGTCCGATCAGATACATCTCATCCCGTTCGCTCACAGCAACCCGTGCGCAATGGGCTTCTTGTTCGGCGTACCTGATAGCATCATTTGCTTTGCTCACCAATGTACCTTGTGGCTCGTCATCAATCGCCATTGTTGGTTGCGGCAACAATGCTGTTTCCAATCTCTCACGCAAACCACGAATAGTGTTCTCCTCGTTCTGCGAGTCCGTAGTGATCTTCACCTGATAGGAGTTGATCATCGATTGATACTGCGCGATTTCGGAAGAAGCACTTCTCCCTTCTTGTTCAGCCTTGTTCTTGCTGACCAATGAGCTTTCCTCCTCGCATCGGATTCGATGTTCAAGCAGATTTACGGTTGCGGCCATCTCTTGGTGTCGCTTCTCGTATTCGAGGACCTTGAGTCGGGCTTCGTCTTGATACTCTCCGTAGATCTTCACGAGATGTTGCGCCTGATCTTCGGATAGTTCTGTCTTCACACGTTGAATGTCAATGTGTTGAGCAGCTTCTCGAAGTTGTTCGTCGGATCTTTTGAGGATATGGGCTACTTGTTGTTCCGACATGCCTGCTCTCCGTTCCAGTTCCTGAATGCGCGTGACATTGTCTTGGTCGTCACGTTCATATTAGACTCCTGAAGCAAAGCCAAATGGCGCTTAGCCTTCTCCGCTTCCTGTTTGAGGGTCTTGTTCTCCTGAGTGATCTTCGACGGACTGGAGCCTGTAGGCGATTTCGATCGCCCTTTTTCCTTGCTCGCAGGACTCATGACGCCCTTCACGCTCCTTCTCGGTGTCGATAATGAAGCTGATGACGATCTCCTCTTTTCTCCGTCCTTGGACCACACGGCATGACCAACTTCCTTCCTGAATGTGATAGGTCGTGGCTATACCAGAACTTGCGCTTTGTTGAGTGTCCGGAGAGTCTGCGATTGCCGGCACGGCAAGCATACCTGTGGAACCGCTGGAACTGTCATTTCCAAAGGTTGTAGTTCCCGGGCTTCCGGAAGAATCCATTGTACGGCTGTAGATATGATTTCAAAAGGTTGCATTGTACCGCGCTTGCAATCCACCGCTGGGACCAATTGGAAGCTTACGGCTGACAACCTGCCAGGAGGCGAGTCAACCGCGTAGTCAATGACAAGGCAGTTGGGGTTCGAATCCCGTGGGGTGACCAATACCCTCGACAATGGAGTCGTATAGTAGTGGTCGTTGCAAAGGGGGGTTGTAAGGTAAATGGTCTGCGCTGTCTCACGACTCGATGCGACGGCGGAATACGGACCTTTTGCTTTGCTTCACAGCTGTATATTGGATGCTTGCCTCGAATCTACTATCAAGGTCTTGAGCCAGATGCATTCGCATGTACACGTCGGCTGCGCACAAAACACCATTTCCCCAAAGGTTTGAGGGACCTTAAAAGAGGGGAAAGAACAGGGTGACCCTCAGAACCTGCCCTTAGGATGTTTTAGCCTGCGGCTCGGAGATTCTTAGCACATGGAAGCTCACTCCTTCTGAGCACCAAGTAAAGGTCTCATTCGGAAACCAGACTTAGTATGTCTCAGACAGGACTCCAGAATGTTGGGCTGGGTTTCCTTTGGTTCCCCTTTGAAACAATACAAAAACGGTACCCTCCAAACAGACACGCCCACTTGCGTTGCCTTTGGTTTGAAGAGACATCAAAACTTTCATGCGCTTGCTCGGTGCAAGAAGGGAATGACGAATGGAATGACCCTTATAAACATCCCTTGTGGTTTCCTTAGGTTCCTTCAAGCGAATCCCTGGTTTCATTCTGAGCACCAGCAAGTTTGATTGAGGCCCCTGAGGAAAAAACAATGTCCTTAAGCAGTGAAGGCGGACTTGTCTATCACAGCTGTCACAGCTTTTGCTCTAACGTAAAACAATTGGCTTTGGCCAAGATTTCGTACACGTTGCTCTTTTTCCAAGCTTCAAAGTGCGACTAGGTAACCATTTCTCTCGTTCCCACGGACCAGGGCGCGCCCTGCTTAAAACCATCTCTCGTTCACTTGGCTTTCAGAGTCTGAGTCGCAGGGTGCCCCCGGCCAAAACAACTCAAAAACCCTTCTGGAATCCACGAAACGAGCCTTGATTCTGAGATGATGGTAGCTTCCAAAACCACTTCCAGGACTGGTGGAATGAGGGTTCTCGTCTACACTTGTATGACCGGGTTTGGAAGCCGGCTCGAAGAACAATCTGGGAAAAACAAAATGTTCGATAACTCAACCGAAAATAAGGGATCCCCATGAAAGATATCTTCATGGCCCCCAAATGACGTTGTTATAACTTGCCCAGAAATCCACGTAAAGTTTCAAAAGAGATCATTGACTTACCAAGAGGC